GATTTTTTTCAAAATAATTTCTGAAGTAACATCAATATTTGGATGAAAATTGGTGTCTGGGAGTTTTTTGACATGAGAAATTTGATTTTGATGTCAATATGACTCCTATTTGTAGGGGACGCCACCTACATGTGTTTTAACTGTTTTGAAGAGTATGTAATAACTTTTGGTCCGTACCTGCATAAAACTCCTCAGTGAAAAAAATACATTTCTGTGATTTTTTACGTAAAAATGTCTCTTGGTAAAAATCGCTACGAGCAACTGATCTCAAGATATTTAGAACGGAAGTAGTCAATACATGTTATCAACTGTACCACCATTGAACAAAAATTAGTCAGTACCGAAAGTTCCTAAGAGGCGCGATACCTAAATTCCCGGTTCCGAAAAACAGCTCCGGTTCCGGAAATTCTAGTATCCATATATGTATAAGCTAGTGTACTTGTTCTTATCTTTAGGGCGCGAAAACTTGAAGAAGTCGCGTTTTCGACCCCCAGCCGGTGGTGTGTCCGCGGCGGGTCGCGTGTAGCCCCTGCTACCGGGTGGGGATGGTCTTCGGCTGCCTGGTGGGGGTAGAAACGTGACCGAACGGCGCTGGGACCGTCGCCTGATCAACAGGGTGAGACACATCCAACACTGCGACCGTCGCCGCTGCACGCGCCCTCCTCACTTGACGAGCGTCGCGCCACGCGCCCCGACTTCCGACTTTTAATTTCGAAATTTTCGGGAACACCAAAATGGACCATTCGCTGTCCAATCCGCCGCTGCATTGGGGCTACTCGGGCTCCGCTGCCAACCCGGCCTCGTCGTGGCAACCGGTGCCCAATAATCGCGGTACCAAGAGACCATTATCGGAGAGTGATTGTGACGATGTTTACTCGGAGGAATCTTCCAAGGAACAGTACGTATTTAAATTGTTTGCCTGTGATATTCCTTTCACTTCCTACTTCTTGAAACGTCAAAAAAAAAGTTTTTTTTTACTGAATAACTGATCGGATTGTTTTTGCAACAGAAAAAACTTTTTTATTAATAATTTTTTTTTGAAATTTTTGCTTGCTTTAAAATGGTCAATCCCGTTTCTATTTTTCCAAATTTCCATACCGTTTTAGAGAAAATTAAAAAAAATTGAAAATTTAGTTGAATTTTTTCCTAATGTTTCCTAATGGCGTTTCTATGGTAATATAATTTCGATTTCATTCTTTGATAGAATTTCAATGAACGTCATATTTTTGCTGTTTTAAAATGTTAAAGAAGCATAAAATTTATTTAGTTCAATGCTAAGGAAAGGGTGATCATAGTTGAAAGAAAATGTGATACTTTAGCAACAGCAAAAAAATGACGTTAACCAAAATTAATAATAATCATCTATCAAAAATTGAAATCGAAATGATTTTACCATAGGAACGTCTTTTGGTATTTAGGACTAAAAAAAATAAAAAAAATAATAAATAATTTTTAAAACATTATTATTTTTAATAATAATAATTTATCGTATTCTTAAAAATACGACGTTGATTAAAATTCTTTCAATAACAATTGATAGATTAGAATTAAAATGAAATTATATTACCATAAACGCGCTCTCTAAAACGGTATGGAAATTTGGAAAAGTATAAACGGATTAACCGTTTTAGAACAAGCAAACATTTTTATGAAGAATGCATTTTTCTCAAAATTTCAATAAGTTTTTCATCTTGTAAAGACCAATCTGTAGAAAAAAATTCTGTGTTGGATTTATTTACACAAATCTAAATAATTTATTACTTTTTCAGATGTACCTCTCCTGGAGACGCTGATAGCTGTCAGATGTTGTCCAGAAAAAAACGTCGAGGTGTCATTGAGAAAAAACGAAGAGACCGAATAAATATGTCGTTGTCAGAACTAAAAAGACTGGTGCCCAGTGCCTTCGAGAAGCAAGGGTCTGCGAAGTTAGAGAAAGCAGAAATTTTGAAGATGACAGTGGATCATCTGAAAATGTTGCACGCTAAAGGTAAGTCAGGTTTTTTTGGACAATTATAATTTAATATTTTGTAAGTAATTCAACGTAGAATATTATAGGGCACGTTACAATTACTTACTTTCATTTATTCACACATCAATAAGATATGAAAAAGTTAACACAAACTTAATTATGTTTTATAAAGAATTGTAAAAAATTAACTTATGAATTATGCATGAAAACAAAGTACGGGGGTGACCAAATAATCTATTTAACGTGTGGTGGGTATATACATTATACCTGTTGCGCCGTTACTGTATCGATGTATATTTAAAAACCGTTCCCACAGTGCCCCGAAACGCGCAGCTGGCGCATTACAATTCCCACGTCAATTCGCCTCAACCCCTTTTTGTACCTGCCAATTCATTTACGCATTATATTTAAAACACAACACATCTATTTGTTCATACTGATAAAGACTTATTTATTTGGAAAAATATTTCGTTTTTTATTTAAAAAACCTATTTTTTTCAGGTTTGGATTCTTTCGCATTTGATCCACACAAATACGCTGTTGACTACCACGGAATGGGCTTCCGAGAATGCTTAACAGAAGTCACCAGGTATTTAGAACGAATTGAAGGTATGGACGCTCAGAATCCACTTCGATTGAGACTGACTTCCCACTTGCAATGTTGCGCTGCTCAGAAAGAGCTAGCTCTGAAACAAGCAACCTCCGCACCGTGGAGTTACGGAAGTTCTCAAGCATATCCACCACCATTAAACCCACTGCAGTCGCCGAATCATGGTTCGTTAAACACGCATCAACCTCCACCGTTAGTTCCACCGATTCATCATCAGAATATGCATCACGATCTGGGCCATTATGATGTTTCAACGTCTTGTACTCAGAGTATAGCTCCAGTGCCTTCGCCGGATAGTAGATTGGCTCCTTCGACGTCAATATTGACTCCTTTGACTACAACCACGTCTTCAGCTCTGGCGTACAGTCCTCATCATCAATACCCACCGCCTGTGAATGCTTTTGGTATTCCGTCTTCTAGTCACCATCAAAATTACAGCCAGAGTGTGCCTACGTCGCAGGGAATGAAGCCTTACAGGCCTTGGGGTGCCGAGGTGGCCTACTGATGTTCGGTGAAATAGTGTATATAGTTCAAACGTGTCCAATGCCTTAAATGCTGTGCTTTAAAAATTAAAAAAGAAATATGGTGACGAAATAGCTGTCGGATGAGGAAGAGCACCGTGTATACTCGAGTAACATGTTGTTAAATTATGTATACAGAAATTATTTTTTTGTTTCTGATAAAAGTGATAATAGCACCTGCACAAAGGCTTAGGCTAGTCATTTGCTGTACCTAACAGAAGGAATTTGGCAATTTTTTAATTTATTCTTTGTAAAATAGTGGAAACTAAGAGTGACATAGGGTATTTATATAGATTTTTGTACATATTTTTATGATGATCTCAGTCTGGATGAAATTGTGATTGATAAATTATAAATAAATATTTTTTATAATATTTTTAAAATTTGGTTTTTATTCGATATCCAAAAAAGATTTTTTTTGCATAGTTTCACGTATTTTTACACTGAAAATTTTAGTACCTGCTAATAAAAATTTGCCTTGACTCCCTAAACTAGATATTTTTTGTCAAATGACCATTACAAAATCTTTTATTTATTTATTAGTATCTCTGAAACCATCGAAATATATTTACTAATTCTTAGGATTATGTAAAGTGATCCGAAAGGAAGCCAAAAATACAATAATATACAGGGTGTTCCGTTTTAAAAAAATCATCCAGATCCACTCACACTTTTTTGGGCCACCCTATAGAAGTTAAAACATTTTCCTGAAATACATCCTAATAGTACCTACTTTAGGTTTGCATTTAAAAAAAAATCTCAAGTTTTTTTTATTCTAGATTCTAGGAGCTACAGATGCGCGACCCTCTAAATTGTAATATGGATATCTATATATTTTTTCTCAGAGCATATACAGGTTGAATGGTCAGTTCGGGTACGGTAAGGGTCAAGTAAACCCCTACTCAGCGTGAAACTTTTTGGCAATACACAAAAACAAGAAATACTGGAATAATTTGGAGGGAACAAAGAATTTGGCAACCCTTTCGGCGTACAGACAGAAAAAAAACTCGTTCTTCAACGGAGCGTCCCTTCAACCATGAAAATCGGACAATAGAAGATGACCAGTGTCCAGGGGACAGTATTCGCAACTAATATGCGCATTTTTCTGAAAAAGCTCGCTTATGCAAATTGGAATGGTCAACACGTGTTCTATTGTGTAAGACAAGCGCGTTTATAATAATAAAAACTCGTTAAAATTTTTCTAGAACCTTTTTACAAAGCCAGGATTATAGAAAAATATATATCCTTGCATTGTGTATCCCTATTTTCGATGTAAAAAAATATTAAATAAGAAAATTAGCACATTACAGATCAGTCGTGATTGGCAAAGAGTTAGTACTAATTATTTTTGTATATATTTTATGTAATCCAATATAAAACAACAATTTTCATAAACTCAAGAGAAATATAGCGATAAAAATATATCAAAAATTTCTTGTCAACGATTTGTGACTGAAGCTATCAATTGTGTAACATTTTTCGGCAAAATTATTGAATTCACAGCTATTGAAATTCATTCAAATAGTTGACCTATGGCTTATATAGTTCATTTTCTGTTTCCATTCACAAATAAGTCAAATAAACCCAGATTTGTTGAATGGAAATCAACATAATGTGTTATACCTCATAATCACATGATAAACGCTGCGACATTTTGTTTTATTTACGCTATCTACATTAGCACGTATTGGTAAACACTCAAGTTGATTTTTCTCAAATTTCACCGAATTTATGTAACTTTTTATTGCATATATCTTTACGAAATATATTTCACTAAATTATCTTTTGAAATTTTGGCCACATCAGTATGATTTTTTTCCATTGGAAAACGCTGCATAGAGAGTACAGAAAAACCTACTTTGCCAATGCAATTTTCAATAAGAATTATTTATTACTCCGATTTCGTACAAGGCCTGCTTGATCATACTGAATGATTTCAGCAATACCTTCACGATAGGATTCTATCGCTTTTAATAGTCTCGGTTTTTTCTGACCTCAAAACGACAAAGTGTATTTACTGGTGATCAAATCTGGACTTTTTCTGGATTTTTTTTTAGTTTTTTTGTTAAAAAACATAATTTCTTGATAATATGGCAACATAGGTATTAGATTAAATTTACAAGAAAGAAAATCCACAAAAGATCCAGTAGTTCTCAAAATTTGAGCAAAAATTATTTTTTTTTGGAAATTTTCAAAGTAAAATAACTCCGTTATTTTGGACTTATTTGAAAAACGATAAAGAGAAAATATGTTTCTTTTATCGAGATCTACCACCCCTTAACCCTGTATAAAGGCACCTTCTCCATCTGTCTAAAATATTACTAGCGTTACAGTGTTGCCGGATCGTTTGAAAAGTGGTAGCATCTTTGTTATTTAAAATTGAACACCCAGTATATTATTACATTTTTGGAAACTACTTTCATATCTCATAATTTTTCTATTATACTGTCCTATACCTATCTCTTATAGTTTTCGAGATAAAAAATAAAATACGTGTAAAATTGTTTAAAATTGTTTATTTCCTTTATAAATCCTTGGGTAAACAATAGCGATACTCCCACGCGAATAAATGCGACTAATCCGCATCATAACAAACCCTTTTTTCTGTGGCTTTGGCCAAAATCGAGGCGGCGAATGCAAATGCGGCGATTTTGGGGGTTGAAACGAATTATTGGGGTGTCGAACGTGGGAAATAGTTGGTAGTCTGTCTCTCATAGCGTCGGCACACACGCCACAAGCTCTCAATGTCGAGCAGCGTTTGGGAGGGAGACACACGTCTTTTTCAGATTTTTCACTTTTATTTATAATACAACAAATGTATTGACCTTTTTTTTCATAATCCCCTTGGTATTATTCCTTAAAAATTCAATAATATGAGTTTTGATAGTTGCTAGTTGATGGTGCTCCATATTTTAAAAAACAATATGAGTAGCTGCATCAAGTTTTATACACATATGCACCAGAAGTTAATAAAAATCGGTGAATTGATCAAAATCCTCAATTTTTATGAGTACATTCTATGTAAGGAAAAAGTCGAAAATTTGGCTATTTTAGCTATTTTTACTCGTTTTTCAGAGGTCTCAGAAAAATAGTAGAAGTAGTCATAAAATTATTAAAATCTCAGTATTTGTAGAAAATTTTATGTAGATTCTAAATATGTAAACATAAAAAACTTCAGCGCTTTGTTTTTCCGAAAAAAATCATTTTTCCAACACTTGTTTATAAACGATTTTTGACGATGGATAGAAATTTGCCTAGTGCTAGTACAGTACCCGCAAAACCAAAAAGGCCTGCATTTTCGTATTCTACACCTTTTAATTAGTTAATAACTGAAGTTTTATCAAAATCCGTGACTTTTTCGTGAATTTTTAGGAGCATAGAATAAAGTTGAAAAACTGTCCATTTTTGGCTATTTTTAACGCGTTTTCGGGACTCTCAGAAAAATAGTAAATATAGTCCTAAAAATATGAAAATTTCAGGAATTGTAGGAAATTTTATGTAGATTCTGAATATGTATACGTTAAAAAGCCTGAGTGCTTTTGTTTTTTGAGAAAACGGATTTTTCCGACCCTTGTTTCTGAACCATTTTTGGTGATTATAATTTTATCTATAGCTAGTACGGTAGTCGTAAGACCAAAATGGCCCATATTTTCGTTCTTCCATCTAGGTACACGTTTTAGTTAGTTAATAACAAGAGTTTTGACAAAATCGGTGACCAAAATCATCAATTTTCATGATTGTCTGTTTTTGACTATTTTAACGCGTTTTCAATGCTCTCAGAAAAATAGTAAATATAGTCCTAAAAATATGAAAATTTCAGGATTTGTAGGAAATTTTATAGAGATTCTGCATATGTAAACGTAAAAAAATTGAGAGCTTTGGTTTGGTCAAAATCGGTGACTTGGCCAAAATCGTCAATTTTCATAACTAAGATTTTTTACACGACTTAAAAATTCACAGAACGGTAGTAAACTTAGTCCTATAGAAAATTTTATGTGGATTCGAAATATGTAAACATTAAAGAGCCTAAATGCTCTGGTTTTTTGAGAAAATGGATTTTTCGAAGCCTTGTTTCCGAAAGATTTATTTTATTACATCACAACATATTTTATATTAGTAAAAGATTCTATTATCAACATTCTGTGCAACGTCCTATGACATATCAGTGTTTTATGCAAATAATAGCATACGTATAGGGGGACATTTTTGTATTTATTTCCCTATTCTCGCTCTGTTAAACACCACAAGTCGTTACAACCTCAAACATCTTGGCAATAATTAATAAATCAAATTAAATTACATACAGGACACTGATTCACACAAAACGCAATTTTATTGCTTATTTTGGTTGTACATCTGCTTAACAGATTTAATAATTAGTGTCAATAAGAGAAAATTTGTTGATAAATTCAAGATTATGACGATGCTTTTTAATACAGAAAGTAGGTTTTTTGAATAATACAGCTAACGATTTTAACACACAAGGTAAAGTAATTTACAGAAAAATACCTCTCCAAAATAAAATAAAAATTACTTTATGCTTAAGTAAATTAAGTTCATTAACTTAGAAAAACCATAAAGTTAATACGTTCATCAACATTTTAAAGGCCATAAGTAACATTAACCTGAACAAATGTCTCATTAACAATATATAAGGACAAATTTATTTAGTAATTTAAATAAGCTTGGATGTTTCTCAACAGAGCATAAATTAAATTAAAGGCTAAATCATTTTGAACGTTAGAAATGAAGAAGGATCAATAAAAATAGGATATATTGTAAAATGCCTTTATTATTTGAACTAGTTGAAGTTGTTGGCATTTTGAAAAAGCAATCAAAAGATAAAAGACTATCAAAATGTTGATCTAATAACAATTTGACGTTTATACTATTACGTCAAAAGCAACTTTTTTCCAAAGCCTACCATGACTTCACTGAATCATCGTTTCTTGTTCACTATTATTAATATCTTAATTATTAGATATTAACACATCTGGTATTATGATATTCTGGTATTTCGTCGATTTTAAAATAAACTAACTGTTTCTATCTTATTTTTTTGTTAGAATGGGCCTAATCTAGAGGGCTACTGATACTGTATTGTAAAAATAAGATAATTAAGGGCTTATTTTTTTGTATTTATTATAATTTTGCTAATATCTTCGGTTTGAAAGAGCATATCAAGATGTGGTTTTCGCTGACTTTTTAAGCTTTTACTTTACTACCAGCTGAAATAGCACATACTATCGTATTTAATTTTTTTGAAAAAACGCGCTGTTTGTTAAATTGTAAGAAAGCGCCCCCTAGCGTCTACGT